CTGCTGGTTCTGCAGTCATTTCAGGTTCCTGTACCTATGACTGACATTGCAGGCAAGTTAAATCTATATGAGCAAGATATATCGGCAAACAAAGAAAAACCACACCTTTTGAATCCTGTGAGTATGAACACAGCTTGGAATAACTAAGACCTGGCAAAAGCTGCTGGTTGCATTAGCTTTGTACAGATTAACTCTTTGTCCTGTGGTATTCATGTAGAATTTACCATGCAATAAAAACGAGGTGTTCAGTGCCTGCAGGGTTTTATCGCGCTGTGCTCCTACAAGTTAGCTGTTGAATCAAGAGGCTGAAGAGCCAGCTGTGTCCCTAGCCTGTACTGTGTCTGCGGGGGGAGCAGGGAAGCGCGGCGCTGCGGGGCATTAAGCAAGGCCATGGTTTTGTGCTGCACAGCGTAGCAGGATTGCTTTGGGTGCTCTTGTTGCAGCATGTCACCTCCTCCATTGTGCAAGGAGCACCCTGGCGTTTACCTGTTTCAGCTTAGCCTTCTTGTCAGCTCCCTCCCATGCTTTCCACAAGGATATGCTAGCTCAAATGCTTTGTGTTGTGAAAAATCTGCTGAAGACATGAGGACGTGAAATGCTAGTATGCTTTGAAGAAGAAGCAGTTTAACTTCATGTTGCCCAGAATACATCAAATATCTTCTCTAAAATTCACTTGCATCACAGTATTTACTAATATAAGGGTTTTATGCATCCTTTAGCATGCAGAGAAGCATTTATATAGAGCCATCCTCTTGGTCTCTATACAGGGAGAATTAATTTTGTATGACAAGGGCTGGCCCTGCCAATTCGTAAGTCTGTGATTAGACTCWGGCTTCCTAGGGAGGCAAATCTGGATAACACTTCAGCTTTGCTTATGTTATGYTGGCACTATCTCACTTTGTTATTTGCAATTCTTTCAAACTTTCTCTGATGAAGTTACTTACAACTCTTTCAATCCACTGTGTCTTTGTTACTTATCTGATCAATGAAATTGAACTAGCAGTTACTTGTTTAGCTAGCTGTACTTGTTTATATGCATATATTCTGTTAATTCCGAACACTGATATTTTAGCGATAGTTTTCCAAGATCATTTTAGCATAGACAAATTAGTGCACATCAATGAGGCTGAAAAAATATGTACCTTAAGAAATTCAGTGACACCAGACTTTATGGTGAGTACAGCCTTGAAAATACAGCTGAGCTGGAACCACTGTGTCTTTCTGATAATTTCACTCAAACTCGCAAGGACTTTTTGTTAGAACCAACTTTTCTGCACAGATCCAGCTGAAAATAAAACTTTACACACGTTTCAGCTTTCATCTTTAAAGCAGCTTAAACTGTGTGAGTTCTGCAACCAGGGCTAAAGACAGTCTGCAGATATGTACACGATGCTTTAGAAACTGCTTCAGATGTTACCACCCCCCAGGTGTTCGCTGCTCCCTTTCTGCTGGAAGTTACTGCTCTCTGCAGCTGGACCATAAATGCTTCCCTTTTTGTTGCCAGCACACTGCGGGCTGCCAGCCACCAGGAAGTAGCCAGTGGCATCTTCAGTGGGCTCTGCTGTCTGTATAACATCTGCTCATGACCATGGCTGGTTYCTTCTATTTGAAACAGTTTGCATTGCAAACTTGTCACTTTGCCACTTTAATAACTAAGTTATACTTCAAAAAGAAGTCCTTTTTTTTTTTTTTCCCTCTGAGATATGAGTTAGGAGCTTCTAAAAAAAACAAAAAAGTGGAGATCAGCTTTTCTAGAATATTTGAAGAGCCTTTTTAAAAAAATCTATCATTACTTGGTTTCAGAAAGAGAGAAAAAAGTGAATAGTGTGACAAACAGACATAAAGATTGGCATTATGCTTCTGATCTTGTAGAGGCAAAACAACCTCCCAAGACTGTAGTGTCCTACAATCTGCTGCACCGGTTTTGGTGAAACAACTTGCAGGGCGTATTTGCCCCTAGAAGGTACAGCCCACAGATACTTGCACTTAATTTGCTGAGCCCAAACCAAAGGCTTAAGGCAAAGCTTGGTGTTAATAGAGATCGCTTTTCCAGACATCAAGGCCAAACTCTTGCTTAGAGTTGCTTATAGAGGAGCTAGAAAATGCCCTTTAAAAGGGTAGGAGGTGAAGATACCTTGTTGGAAATGTGATGTGTGAAGTCAAATAATGCTTTTTATGAAGACAGCTACTGTGTTGGCTTTTCTTTATTAAATACAGCAAACTGATCATTTAGAAATACTTTTGTGGAATTCGGTCTTGATTTTGCATCTTGAGTTCCATAGCTGAGGTATCTTTTGAAGGTCTGATTTGTGTTTGATCCTGTTCATTTTCAGAAGCTGTGGCCTGAGGAGAAAACRTACATTTTTTTTTTTCAAGTGTGAGTAAGAGTAATTTTGAGGAGGAGGTTGGGAAGGGGAAGAAAGGAGAAGCTTGATACAGTAATTTCTCATTAGTTTTACTCTATTCTCTTTTTATTTTGCACCTTAATGCTTTTATAACTATGATGTCATTCTAAGTCAAAGGCACTGGACTTATGTAACAAAAAGCACAAAATGTAGTTTTCATAACTTTTTTGATAATACTGTAGGTCATACTTAAGAAAATAACAATTTTACTTTGTACACAAAAGTTCTGACACAGAGTTGTCATTTAATGGAGCTGTTACTTAAATGTATGTATCTTTAATTTATGAATAATAAAAAAATCTTTCAGAACAAAACCTAAAATTCCGTCATTGGAATTTTTGCCAGACTACAACATATTGAGTCATCTAAAAACCAAATAAACAWATGATAGTAACTAATAAGGAATGGCTTGTTACTGGAATATTCGTTAATGAGAAATGGTATCCTTATTCTGTTCCCCTCACCATATCTGTTTGTTCTTCTGTTATCATGTTTAAAACAGCAACAACAACAACAAAACCCCCCAAAACAGATTTTAAAGGGTTTTGGATGTGCGTAGTTCTCAGTTAAAGCTGCAGTAATTCTTAATTAAATTGACACGCCAGTCTTTGAAAAGAGTTTTCCATCCAAGTATTCTTTAGAGGTCTAGGTTAAATGCATGATTACAGCTTGCAGAAGCAAAGTTTAAAAAAACCTAAAGAAATTCTTTTTCTGTTCTCCTTTGCCCTGATTTCAGAGACTTCTGRACGCAATGATTAGTTCTCCATTTCTTGCAGAAAAAGAAGTGGTCTAGTATTTATGTTATGTTCAACACTTAACAAATCAGGCTTTCTCTTATCATTAAACCTACAAAGTGTAGAGCAWTTTTTTTTTTCTGAATATCATCTTGAATTCTGAGTTTACTTGGCATTCCTCATTATGATTGGTAGCAGAACCATGACTTTTGCATATCTGTCTTCTCCATACGGGTAGGGATTGAACTCTGCTCATAGTGATTTTGTAGAAAGGGCTTTTTGCATTTCTCATAATTTCAGGTGAACTTATTCATAACTGTTTCTTTGCTGTTTCACTAGATTTTCTTGATTTCACAATCTTAATGTTAAGAGATTAATGGTACGTTGAACACCATAAAGTCAAGTTACTAGGAACTTCTTGGAAGATGTTTACAAGCTTTTAAGTAGCTTGGTAAGAACAGAAAATGAGAAGATCAAGAGTCTTGTAACTGTAGGTATCATTTACTTAAAAAAAAAAAAAAAAAAAAGTACATGAGTGTCTTTGACAAACATTGAGAATCTGTGTTCTGCTCAAGACTTTTCAGCTTGATGAAAGGCCTGGAACACTGTAAAGGTGGGACTGGCACCATGTTAATGCTTCGATTCCGTGTGGGTGAAGATCCTGCCAGAAAAAAACTTCTTAAATCTGTATCCAAAAATGATCTCCCATGACTCCTCCCAGATTGCTGGCATAAGACGTGTTTTGAAAGGGAGAAGGGAGATTCCTAGGTGTAAGATATTGCAAAAGACTTTGAACAGTTGTTTAAAAAGCAGGTTATTTCCTCTTACAGTTCTTGGATTGTTTAAGAAAACTTAGGGAAGAGTGATATCCCAGTTACCCGAGGAATTACAGATAGGTTAAAAAAAAATCATTTCCTCTAAAGGAAAACATTGGAAACTTTAGAACAGTTGGTTAGATGACAAATTGTATGTTGTCTTGTTTTCTGGTCATCTTTTAGCTGAATTCTTATGCTAGTCTTTTCCATGTTGTGTAACTTCAACTCAAACTTAAAATATGTATTTTATTTTTATTTCCCATAGGGATCACATTTCTGGCAATTAAAGTGATGCAGGCTAGAAGTTTGAAGGGAAGATTCTTGTTTGCCTAAATGCCATGGTGCCCTATGAAGGGGAAGGAGTGTGTTTTGGAGCATATTTAGTGTACTAGGTATCAGTTACCAGTTTAAGACTGGGACTATTTGTATGTTGGCACAAAACAAAAATATAACAACATCTGAAAGAAACTTTGCAAAAATTCTTGCATGTTAATTTACAGTTTAATTTCTGAGTTGCTTCTAGGYGCACAGAAAGGAAGTAACTTTACGGTTGATAGGATTTGAAGCTAAGGCTGAAGTAGCCATCTTCAAGCRGGGAGTTTGTCTAACAGGCAGTGCACTTAGTAATCAGCATGTGCTCTGAGCTTCTACTGTGCTTTTCTCTTTATTTTTCACCAAAATACATGCATTTTCATAGATGGATTTATTTTCTAAAACTATTTTTTCCCCCCAAAGTATCATTTTGTAGGAAGCRCAATACAATGCAGTTAAATATATATTTTTTTCCTCCCCAGAGGAGCTGCACCTTGATATTTGTGCATTGTTTGGTTACAAACCTGTAGCCAAGTATGGAACGCCCGTCTGTGCTTGAGAAAATCTTTTCTCCTTAGGCCTTGGTTTTGAAATCTAAGTTTTGGAATTATAATTGTAAGACACATAATTGCACCATAGTTTATATGTTTCAGATTTCCTTAAACTTGCCTGTCTTTATCTCTGTCTTGTTTCCTGCTAGGGCTTCGTTGAAGGCCTCTCCAGTGGCCCTTTTGTGTGAGCTGCGTTCACTGTCCTGTGTGTCCTTGTTCATAGGAGTATGTGAAGGAGTAAGCGGTATGTGAAGTTACTCTTGATTCAAAATCAGCAGGGCTGCAGAGGAGCCCTCACCCAGCCCTCCGTGCAGAGGATTTTGGCTCTCTGGCTCCTTGGAGGTCAAACATATCATTACTTCTGGTATCAAATTCTGAAGGGGAAATACAAAAGCCCCTATTCTAGCATTCAGTTCCTGTTTTTCTGAGTTGGCACTTTGAGCTGGGACTTTATCACTGTTAATTTTGGAAGCAGGCAAATGCTATTYGATAGCCATGTAAGTGGGCACAACACTTACCTATCTGCTCTTTATTCGGAGTGAGAAATTACTGTGACTCATGCATAACGTCTGTAAGAAAATAGAAATAGTGCAAATACAGCACTCCCCAACTTGCAATTTCTCTAAATTACCAAACAGCTTTTAAAAAAATTTAGGTCAATGAGTTCTCCTCATGCATCTTCCTTTCCTTGATATTATATGTTTATATATATTAATATATTTAAGCACATTAGTAGTTCTTGAGGGGAATTCATGCATATAAAGCATGAGGAATCAAATATTGCCACCTATATAGTATCCAAAATATTAAACAGATTATAATTAATATTTGATTTTCTTGATTAGTTTTAGTTAATTTTTACGTCTGTTATGAAGATTTCATAATGGCTTTTTTGTTCTCCTCGGATGTTTTGATCACAAGTGTGCAGTTGGAGTACAGAAGTTATGACCTTAGCCACTTGGAAAACCCCTGTATGTGGCTGTGGGTTTCTGTAAAGTCCAGCAAATAAGACTAATGGCTCTAAAAGGTGTTCTCTCTGTTTTGTCAAGTGCTTTGAGTAAGTAACTGCAGAGAGCCGCTGCATTTGGAAGGCTTGTCTGCACAGCACACAGATTTCGAGGAAAAGGACCTTACTAGAGAGCAACTCACTAACTCTGAGCAGGGAGAAAAGGTAAGAAAATACTTTCTTAAGCAGGATGCTTGACAACTGTCTGAGAGACTTTTTGAGAGAGATTTGCCTTGCAGCACATAAGATAAGGAGGAAACTGAAACAACTGCCTGGGATGTTTTCTTGGAGGTCTGGAGCAGTGCTGTCAAGTGTGCAAAGAGGTGTTAGTGTGCACTGGGAAAATAGGTATGGCAGGAGAGACGCATGCTGAGTCATATGTGAGTCATTGCTAAAAGTGATTGAACAGGAGTGTTCCTSCAGAGCTATTTTTAATATTTGCTTACTCACATTTACTGTACTAGGCTCTTTACAGGAAAGTAAAATGCTGCAAGGTCCTTAAGATCATTTTCATGGCAGCAGCTTGTTATTGATGTGTAATGAAGTCTTCAGTCTTGCTGCTTTGAATATTTTAGGATTTAGGGTGATGCTGATTCTTCCTGCAGCTTTCCAAGGAACTGAACTGCAATGTTCCCATCATCTTCATGCCCAGACCCATACGAATAAATTGGCATTGACCTTCAAACCAAAGCAGCTAGCAGTGACATACTGAAGAGGCAAAGCAGAGTGCTAATGAGTAGCTAGAGGTGGGAGCTGTTTGTGCTTGGTGGTATTTAGAGGTGGACGTGTGTTTCATTAGGCACATGAATTATTGTCGGCCAGAAAATCTTTGTGAGTTTTAGCTATGGTGAATATAGAAGTGACATCTTCTCTGTTTTAAAACCCTGCTTGCAGTCTATGTAGTTTTGCAGAACAGCAGCATGTTTCCCTCCTTTGAGCAGCAAGATGCAGTGTCTTCTCCCTTCTCTGTGTGCTGATGAAGCTGTTCCCTTCTCTGCAGATGAAGGCAGCTGCATGTGCAGGGGGGAGCCGTTCAGGAGCTCGTTCAGGGTGCCTGTGCATGTCATGGAGTTAAGCAGTGGCTTCCTGTTTACTGCTGCCGAGTGAGGATTTGGGGCCGGGCCAAGGGCAGGAGCGTGGCTTGCGGATTTGCTGTTGTGCAGGTCTGCAGCCGCCTCGCAAGGTGCTACACCAAGTTCCCAGCCCCACGTTGGGGGGCTCCCTGCACAGCAATGTGCTCCTGGCAAGCAGGGTGCTTCTCCTGCAGCCAGATGCTGCCCAGCACACAGCAAGTCGCTTGGGCTGCGACTTGGCACTTGGGGAGGGAGGTTGAGGTCGCAGCTCTTCAGGCTGGAGGCTCTTTGGCCGACTTTATTAAACTGGGCCTGCCTGAGTGGTGGAAGTCGAGGCAGTTTTGGTTACTGACCTCTTGGCTGCCTGTTGCGCGTACAACCTAATATTTTGGGGTTTCTCGGTGGTAGGAAGCACCAAGGGTCTCCAGCGAGAAATGGAAGCCTCAGTGTACACAAAGTGGGAACTGCTGGGGATGTTGCCTCCCACCAGCAGCTTAACTTCCCCAAGTCTGTAGCTGTTGTTGCCAGAGAGGCATTGGGAGAGGGAAAGCGTGGCTGCAGTTAAGTGTCTGTGCTTCTAAAGTCTGAAAAAAAAAAAATCATACCTGGTGTGAGAAGCAAATAAAGACAATCAGCCAAAACCACAAATTGAGGAGTGGATTATCTATAACTAAGCTTTATAACTAAGCTTTTTTCCTTAGTTTTCAAATATTGAGTAGGACTGAAAGGAGGATGTGTTTATTGTTAAAGAGAACACGACCGGGTTACCACATAGCAGCGACAGGAACTGGACAAGCAAATGCTTTCTGCAGAGTGAAAGCTGTGGCCCATAAATAAACACAAGGTGATTCAGGCCTACCAGATTTTTGGAGAAGAGGTAAATTGCAGTGGTAAAATGGAAGASATGTATGATTTCCCAGGCAGAAAAGTATTTAGACTACCAGGTGGAAACTGCACAGGATGAGATCCTGTGCATGGCCCATCATCAGTATCCATATCCATACCTSATGGGTAAATGTAAAGGCAAGTTTTAGACATTCTTCCCTACCCAAGCTACCAGTGACAGAATAATTATGAAATCTGCTAAACTCTATTATCCAAAGTCCAAACTGAAACCCTTAAATTAAAACCAGTGTTCSGCTGCTCCCAATTGCACGCTGCAGCCACTGATGTGTGTTACCACTTTTGAACCAGTGTTCTCACAGCTCAAAGGTAAACATGCAAGATTTGCTTCTGTTTACAAGTCAGGTAAAAATAGCATATATGTTTAGCCAGCATATYGAATGAGTTAAATGTCAATATTTAGCTTGCTTGGTTGAGCGGCACTAGAGAATAGTGCAGAGTTTACAAATTATTTGTACCAGCAACTCTCTTGATAGTGACAAGCTCACCACGTGCAGCCTTAAAAGCCACAATTAACAAAGGTAGTAGAGAAAATAGTAGAGAAGGCAGAGAACATGATAAAAATATATGTTAAAACTTGGATTGGTTAAAATTCCATGGTAATTTCTGGAATGGTGCTGTGAAACACGGGGCTGCTCTATTCAGATTATCAGTTTAGGTAACTGCATGACAAATGCCTGTGTCTCTTGTCAGTGACAGCAGAGGAGKGGACTGATTTATGGGTTTCTTGTCATTCACATGTTCCTGTCCAACAAGTTTCTTAAAGTCTACCAGTGATTAAGTACTAAACTCTTAGTGTGGTCTGTTATCTCAGGAGATTAAAAAAAAATAAACGCATTGATACTCTTCCACTTTTTCCTGCAGAAAGCAACTATTATATTGTATTAGACTCTCACCACAGTCATTGGCAGCCTGACCTTTCTAAAGTAATGGCCAKCCCATATGCCTGAGTCCTGTAGGAGAAACCCTATGACACCACAGGATGAGAGATAAAGGATTTAGCACGAGCTCCTTTACCTGCTTTACAATTGATATTTGCAGCTTACGCTCCCTTTTCAAAGTAAGGTAAACAATCCAAGGGCTTTTTAGACTCTGAAAATGTAAAATTAATTGCCAGTAAACTGAAGTATATCCAGTGGGAAAGTCTCATCCAGCTTTTTGAGTCCACAATCAAAAGAGACTAGCTAAACTACAGATACTTACATCTCTTTTCAGTCAAAAGAATGACTAGGAGACCTCACCTGACCAGTTCTAGATTTCTGTTTTAGGGTGAGGTAAAAGACATCTTAAATTTCTTGCCGGTAAAAGGAGCATTACCCTGTCTAGGTCAAAGGCAGGCATTCGTTTTCAGTCACATGGAGTGGAAGGAGAGGGGAATAYGCAAGTGCGGCCAAGCTCCTCTGTGCTGAGTGGGAAACTCCCTGCAGAGCTTCTTCCTTGACAAGTCACTGACCTGAGACACAAGGGAGTGAAGGTCAGTGTAGACTCGTGGTGTTCAGCTGCACTGYTGCAGCTCCCTCGGTGGAGGAAAGAGGTCTGACTGCACTTGCCTTTCTGGAGAGGAAAAAGGAGTTTCTGCTTCATGGCTTTTCAGATGAAACAAGTTTATTTTTCAGTATCCAAGCTTTTTCTCCATGATTTTTTTTTTTGAATGTCATTTTTTTACAGCATTCTCTGTACTCTTCTGTTTGCCATATATTGTAGTCACCTCTGGCTGGTTTTCATGTATCTACTGAGAAACTTTGGTGCCCCCTCCCCCCCCCCGACCATCCCTTCGCACTTCTAAATATGTCAATTAGTTGATATTAAAAGGTCATTGCAGTGTATGTTTATTCTAATATCCAGGCACTAAGAACAATTCCCACTCACTGAAAAAGATTTTAACTACTAGATATCTTTCTCATATCCATATATATATGCATATTTTGAAGAACATGCATAGCTATGAGAAGGGCAGTGTGTATGGTGTGCTATTAAGGCATAATAATTTAGGATAAAAGAAAAAAAAGATGAGCTTCAAATAGTGTTGTAGCCTGATCCCAGGCTTTCTTTCTGAGGATTGATCTTATGTCTAATTCTATTTAAATCTATTTAAATAAATAGCGTTCTGCCGTGTAAGAAGGCAGTTGTGTGGAAAGCAAGCAGCTTGGCCTKCAGTACAAACTCCCTGAAGCACCGTGGGCTCAGCTGTCCTCCCTTGCATCTCTTACATTGGTGCAATGCATTGGATTATGTTCAGTTGGATTTCATTTAAATTCTTTTAAAAAGTCTGCATCTGAACCAAACACATCTAGTTGTTTGTTTCATCACAAAATAGAGTATTGGAAAATAACTGTAGGACTCATTAGTTGAAATGAGAGGAAAGTAACCAGAGATGGTTGCTGGTCTCCAGCCTGCTCCCTCATACCTGTGCCCATCTCTACGTGCAGCCCTCGCTTTTCAGAAGGGGGCTCAAAACAAATGCACTGTTTGAACCACGTTGTGAGAATGCCTGTCCCGTCCCAGCACAGCRTTTCTGTTCCCAGGCATCGTGCTTGGAAGCAGAGCTGGCGCTCAGAGGCCTCGCCACCAAGGCTGGCCGAAGGGAGGAGATCTCTTGCCTCGCTCCAGGTGACCCGGCTGCAGAGCTCCTTGGAAAGCTTCCCTGGAAAAGAAGGGCCAATGGATCTGGGTTAGTTCTTCCTTTAGCTGCTCATGCTTTATATGAGGTGCTAAGTTAGTTGCTCTCCTCAAGCTTTTCTAAAGTTAGAACATTTTTTTTCTATAGATAGTCCAAATATTTTTGATGATTTAGATGTTTTTTACCAGTGTTATCCAATAACTTGCTATGGGAACTTTCTAGATTGGAAAGCTCCATATGGTTCAGTTTCCTTTGAAACTGTCTCTTGGGTACACATGTGGCTAAATACAGACTTTTTTTTTTTACTGACTGTTTATTGCAGCATTAATATTAATGCTTTCAGTTTTTATGTAATAGCTCCCCCCTTGCTATCTCTGCCACCGTTAAAATGTTTACCATCAATTTTAAAGCTGCTTTAACAACTCTGGGTTTGTTGGAAGCACTGCATCAGATTAGGCACTCTTTGGCACTACTGAGCACAGTAATCTACATCTTACTGCCAGATATTATGACTGCAGTTCACTGTAGTGAGAAAGAAACCCAGCRTCTGAGAAATTAAAAACTTGTTC